AAAATATGCTGTTTATATATATATATATATATATATATGAAAATCAGCGGCGGAGTCAAGAATTTTAGTCAGGGGCAAGCTTTTCAAGTCTTACAATAATACATTATAATTTTAAAATTTTATTTTTATATTATAAATTAAAATAATATTTGATTAATTATGTTATCAAATTTATCTATAATAGAATTTACACTAAATGACTGAACTATTTTATTTTTAATATAAACAATCAAAGAGCTTGAAAAAAATTTATCTTCTATTTTCTCGCGAAGTCTCATTTTTACAATTTTTATGAGAGAAAATGCTTTTTTTATTATTGCTGTAGAAATTGAAAAAGTAAGCACCAAAGTAATTAACTTGCTGTAAAAAATGCTCTTTCTTGTTTTCACATTTTTTTTCTCTTTTTACAAGTTAATTACACTTTATACTAGTTTATTTTCTGTTTATATTAATTTATCCTCCTATTGCTTTTCTTTATATGATTATATCCAAGGTTTTTCTTTTTATTGGGTTCTTATATTTTTTTTCAATTTTTTTTACTCCAACCCAATTTTATTCCATATAACTTCAATATTATCATAATATTCAATTTTATTTGTAATCTTAACAATTCTAAATTTTAAAAGGAAATTATACAATTTTTTGTGATAATAAAAAATCAATAAATTTCATTACTTAAATATTACTCCTTTCATATTAAAATAATAGATTTTTTGTTTTGTCTTCAAATGAATGATTTGAAAATAATTTCTATCTTTACTTATTTTATACTTAAAAAATAATTAAGAATAAATATCTATTTCAATAAGAAGATAAATAATTAAAGATAAGAGATAATTATAAGGTTAAAGTAGAAAAAAACTATTTATCTTCCTTAAAATAAAAAAATTAATGACTATTATTTTGGGATAAATTTTAAATAAAAAATATTAATTATTTTGAGACAAAGAAAGTATACTAATTTTTTTGTTAAAACATATCTACTAACAAGAATAAGATAAAATTTTAAAATAAGATAAAAGAAATTTACAAAACTTGAAAGTTGAAACTTAATATGGCAATAAATGATTTATATAAAAATAAATAATATTATTTTTAGTCTTTATTAAAAAGTTAATAGTCCTTTTGGTGTTCCTTTTGTCTTCAATCTTTCAATGACGAGAGTAGTGTTGCAGTTGCTTATGTTGGGCCGTTGGTGGAATCTTTTTTTTTTTTATTATTATTAAATTGTTGGGTTGAGATTAATTGGTCGAAGGAGATTAGCACTAGAATAATGGGGCTAGATATTGGAAAAATGACGTAAAAAACATGAGAACTTTTTTTTTTTCTTTTTTTACATAATTTAGTTGTAGGTCTTGAGATGAGTGGATTTTAAATAATAATAAATAATTAAATCATTAAAATGGGTAATGAATTATATAAATTATATTTGAGCTCCTAAAACAATCCATTATTGTTGGATTTTTTATATTATGTATTTGAATAATTAAAAATATGATATTTAAAATTTTAATAATAATAATTAATTAATTAATTATATATTATTATTTTTTCAAATCCCAAGGGGAGCCACTGTCCCATGGTCTACGTGTGGTTTCGTTATTAATGAGAATAGAGATCTATTTATACATAAATTTTACACATCTTATTTATATAAAATTTTAATAATTTATTTTTTTATTTTTAATTATTGAGATTTATTTATATTTATTAAATATAATTATTTTTTTATTTAAAAAGTTATAAAAAATTTTAACTATTTATCATTTTTAACTATTGAAAGTAAAAGAATAAATAGTTAAAATTTTATATAAATGTAATATGTAAAATTTATATATAAATAAATTTTTATTCTATCTATATATGTGTGTCTATATGTGTGTAGATATTAATGTTTGTTGCTTGGATCTTAAAAAATGAAGAGAGAAACCTTAAAAAACTTTGTCCTTTCGTTAAAGTATTAGAGGAAATATCAAAATAAACTCATTTTTAGTTTAAAAATAAGTTAGTTTAATTTTTTAAAATAAAAATTTATTGAAATAATATAATTTTAAAGTATTTTTTTTTCATAAATTTTTAGAAATCTAGCCAACAAATATTTTTCTCATATATATATAGAAAATGATTTAGGAATAATTATTTTGTATAATCTTTTTAAACAATTTTATGTGTCATTTAAATAATTAATTATTTTTATTTATTTGAGATTTATGATATTAAATATATTTACTAATTTACTAACATGTAAAAATATATAAAAGAGAAATAAAAAAATATTTTTATATCACCACCCTATATATATTGTGGAGCCTATTTGTAATGAACTCAATTATGGAAAAATGGAAATGACTGCTTTAGCCTTTAGGTGAATAGGCAAAATTTCCTTATCAAAAAAAAAAAAAAAAAAGAATAGGCAAAATTTCTTATATTCACTAGATATGGAGGGTATCTGGTAAAATTAAAAACTAAATTTTTTTTTCACAAATTTATTAAAAAAATTTAAACATGAACTTTGAAAATAATTTTTGAATAATTTTTGAAAAAATTATACATTTATATTTTTTTTAAAACTTGCTTAAAAGTATTTTCTAAAACTATTTTTAAAATTTTCCATTGACCAAATATTAAATTTTTAAAAATAAATTTACTTTTTAAAAATGGTTTAAAGCCAACTGTCGTCCCTCTACT